CCAGCGTTAGATGCCAGTGATTTTTTTCCACATGGACTCTGGGAACAGTCACTAATCATATCAGTCCCTGAGATGATTTAAGTCTTTCCTATCTGCTAAGCATGAGAACTGTTGCTGGCACACAAATCCCACGTCTAGCTCAACACAATAACACACATTTCCAAATGTTAGTGTAAAATATACCACTAATCAACCATCAAAAAAAAAAAAAAGAGAGAAGAGAGGCCCACCCTCCTTGTACAAGGGAAAAGCAAGGTAGAACCACGATGAGGTCATTTTGCAGGACCAGACTGACAAACTCGCAGTGTCTGATGTTGCTAAGATCAGCTGAGAGTAGGGAGCAAGAATTTCACATGCTCCTGCCGAGTACTGAAAAATTTAAAAATGTAGTTTTTTTCTTGAAAAGTGGAAGGTAAACCGCCTAAAAGTCACCAGTTACCCTCCGAAGTATTTACCTAAATCAGCTCCTGCATGTGTATGTGAAGAGTTCTGTTTAAGAATGTTCATTAAGGGCCTCCCCTGGTGGCGCAGCGGTTGAGCTGCCCGCAGCCTCTGCAGTGCTGGTTTGTTTCCCGGCCGCCAGCGAGGGTCCAACAACAACAACAAAAAAATGTTCATTAAGTGGGAAACCAAATGGGCATGGACAGAAGGATGGAGAAGCATCATCACACTCACCTCAGTGAGAAGACAGCGAGGGTGAGCTGCGCAGGGTTGCTTGAGAAAGCCACTTGCAGAAGCAGCACAGCATGTGACACCATTCACAAGGAGCCAAAAGCATGGACAGTGCTATTTACTCATGGGTGCTAAATTATAGTGTAACAGGGTGGTCCCCAGGTAAGGGGGAGGTTCCAGGTTTCCTGCCCCACCCAAGGGAGGGTGGAGCTGAGCAAAGAGAGAAGAAGCTGCAGAGGAGACTGAGGAAGGAAGGAGCAGGATGGAGCCAGAAGGAGACCTGGAGGGGGCACATGGAGCCAAGAGGCACATGAAGAAACTGCAGTGGCCTTTTGGTCGTGGATGGGGTGACACATGTGGGTGAGTCCCATGGGGAAGTGACAACAGCAGCTTTTATCTTGATTTTGATTTTGCTCTTTTCCTCCCAGACTTGTCTGATTGTTTCTGACCATTTTCTGTGGGTCCCCATGGGAAGATGCTTTAGACTTGGGGCAGGCTTTGGGGCCTTGCTCTGGGCCAATCCTGCTTGGTGGACTTTTACCCATGAGGGGACGGGTGACTTTGGTGCTTGATTTAGAAACTATATTCTTTGCCTTTCCTGTGTTGTTTCCTAATTGTGTTAAAGTTCCTTCCCATTAAAGTCTCATATGTTTTGTGTTGATGCGGCGGATGGCAGCACCTATTTGGAGCAGGCAGGTTTTGCGGGGTCTGGGCTGCCCCTCTCCCTGCCCTGTAACAGGAGGAGGGTCCCGGGACAGACAGGAAGTCAATATGAGCTTGTCTAAATAATTCTGAAGCAGCACCCAGTGACCCCCGTGGGCGCTACACTGATGCATTAAGATCATTCCTTTGCCTTCCTATCCTGGACCTGATACCCTCCCTAATAATAGCCCCAATATTAATAACTGCCGCTGTTGAGTGCCCACCACATGCCAGGTACCCTATATATGTACTTTCATCTTCATTTTTCAGGTGAGAAAACTGAGAATGAGAACATTTCTGGGGTTTGCCCAAGGGCAAGAGCTGCTAGGAGGGGCTGAGAGCTCAGCAGGACCGGCAGAGCTGCCAGGCAAAGCCTGAGTTTGCACCCTGCTGTCTTCGTCTCCCCCTGTCCGCTTCTCTGCAAGCCATTCCCCGCTGATCCTGCTCTTGGCCTCGGGGAGTGATACTGCTTGAGGACAAGAATAAAAAAAAAAACTGAAAAGGAGGCCACACAAGGAGGGGGTTGGTAGAAGAGATTAGCATAGCCATCAACCCAGCTATGGAAACCTGTAGCTGCCGGGACTTTTCCTCACTGACCTCCCTCAGCGGAGGCTGCTCCCCTCAAGGCCGCCTACCTGCAACCATGCAGGCCTCTCTCAGCAAACCTGTCCCTTTTGGGGCAGCTCTTCCTGCCTGCTGTGTCTATGCAAGTGTCTTTTACTCTTCCATCCCTTTCCCTAATAAGCCTGCCCTTTAAATATAACAACCATCTCTGTCTCGTGGAGAAACTCGCCTGGGAAATTCGCCGCATGTCACTGAAAGGGGAGCTCTGGGGACACCTTTCCCGGAGTGTACCCAAGGACCCTGCACTCCGAGCCCACAGACTCCAAAAACGACAATAATACCAAGGGGGAATCTCAGGGGAGACAGAAAAAAATATGTCGTGTGAAGCCAGTGACCACAGAAACTCAGGAAGACTTTCCCAAATCCTGTAGGTTATGTTACATGACAAGCTAACATAGTAACTTCTCAAGAATTTACCTGTAAATGGGCGCACACTCATTTGCAGGAGAGGAAAGTGGCTGATGTAACCTTTTAAATTCCACCCCAGTTAAAGGCCAGTTTCTTCCTACCACCGTCTCTACAGCAAGAAAGTCTTTTGACCCCAATCCTGCCTCTGCTCAATCTCCAAAATCTACGCTTCCAGACTCTTTCTGTCTTTCAACACAGCACAGCTATCTCTTTTCCCCTCGTGCCTCATGTACCTACCCTGTAATGTAGTTTGAAATGCACGAAGGTACAATAACACCATTCTGGAGTCGAGCCACGCACTGAGGCCCAGAGCCGAACAAGAACACAGGCTAATGAATGACTCATTCTTGGTTGAAAATAATCCTTCAATAAAGAAATAACAGTCAATATGTAAGACACACACTTCGCTAGAATCACAATCTCTAGTTTCAGCAGATGAATTTTACAATGTGGCTGATAACCAGAGACTGAATTGGTGGGTTCTTTTCCAAGGTGGTCTCTTCATAAGCTCAGGTGTCAAGTGTCTTCCAGTTGCCCCATAATTCTGAATCGAGTTTGGGACTGCAGAAGATAGACATGAGGAGAAGACATGGGAAATACGATTGCTTTTCTGGCCAAGGACTAGTTTTGCCTGTGAGTTTCTGTATTCCCAGTCCAGAGTCGCAATGAATAAAGAAACAGAAAAAGAAAGCCTTAATTGACAATATAATGCCCACAGGCATCAACAGATGTGATCCCTTGTAATGAAGCATGTGGGTCTAATTTGGCATCAGTAACCACTTGGAGGATCTCCTTGCTGAGTTCTTGCAGGCTATCCTTCTAAACCTATGTTTGGCTGGCACCTGTGCCCTGTTGAAACTGGCATACCACCCTATGGGTGGGCACAGTGCCACCCTAACAGATGGCCCTGCGAGTCATCATGCCAGAGAACTACTATTGTTTCTAGCAAGTTTAACTTAACAGCAGTTGGCAGCTCACTAAAGAATGACAAGATGGTGGTCTACCTTTCCATGGACGATAAGCTATGACCTATAACTGACATGCCTGAAAGTGGGATGTCTGGGTCATTTCACAAACTAAAGGAAAACATATAGGGGGAAAGTGGCACAGTGACAATGGTGTATCTGTCCTAGGTAGTAGTAAAAATAGGGACGACCACATTTCAAGGTTCCATGATAAAGTCAACATTCTACTCTCCTGAAGCCAATAAATACATCAATGCCAGTATCATTGAAAGTAATATTTTAAAACATTGTCTCTGGAATCTACTTTCTGCTTGGTCACCCACCCAGGTCACCTCCCACTGATAAGACAGTAGTCCCTCAAATGGTAAGTTGCCTTCAAAATGATCTAAACACACCTAAGTAGGTCTGGCCTCAAAGTTATGGTCTTTCTAGTCGGTGACAGAGCCTCCTACAGTAAATACAAGCTCTTCATTCAATACAGTCTAGAAATAGAAGATACTCTATGTGGTCATTTTATCGCATGTGCCTATATGGTAAAATAAAAACACTTAAGATGAATAATTGTTTAATAAATGGTATTTGGTCAACAAGATTGCAATTCAGGGGGGTGGGGGAGAAATCAAGATTAAAGAAAATCAGCCCCAACTAACAGCATTTGTGCAAAAACTACATCACTAGTGGAAACTCTACCTGATTCTTTATATCAAAGTTTACTTTAGATGGATCCAAGATAATAATAAAGAGTAATACCATAAAAGTCATAGAAGATAATATGGTGGAGTTTTTCTTAAAATATTGTGGTGACAAATACCTAAATATTACAAGGACCAAAAATGATCATTTTAAAAGTCTAGAAATTTTGAATAATATAAAAGTTAAAAATTTGAAATTTTGAAGTGTTTTTAATAAATGTAAATTTACATTCAAACTAAGTTTAACGAAAAATGACAAACTGACATAATATCCAACGAGCTCTTACAAACCAAATTTTAAAGGAAGAAATGTTAAAATAGAAAAAATGACAAAGGGCGGCACCTCCTTAAATAAGCAAAGCAAAGCAACTTCCATAATCATCACAACAGCACAGATGAAAACTACAAGGCATCAGTGGTCATTTACCAGGCTAGCAACTTTGAACAAGGTCAATCCCAAGGAGACAATCACAAAATACAAAAAAAAAAAAAAAAAAAAAACCACACAAAAAAACAAAAAACAACCAGTATTCATAAAACAATTCAGTATTCACCAGGCCTCCCTGGTGGCGCAAGGGGTTAAGACACAAACTATGAAGCTGTCCGCAGCCACTGCAGCACGAATTCCATCTCTGGCCAGGGAGCTACCCACATGGCACAGCAGACCTCTCCTGTCTCGCCTTCTGCTCCCCTCAGCAGTGTAATTCGGTCATTCCTCCTGTTCTGTTTCGCAGTCTGGTGAATCCTCTCACCATCACCCCCCACACACACACCCCTCTGGCCTGTACCCCAGTTCTTGTATGCATAAATAAATAAATCTTTTCTTTTTCTGGGTGTGCCAGGCCTTTACTGGAAGTTTCCCTCCCTAGTGGGAGGTCGTGCCCACGGGGCTGCAGGAGGCCCCATGGCTCAGACACCCCGTCCGCAGGATGGGCTCTGGGCTGGACAGGGAGGGCGGTCAGTGATCACTTCTCCAGGGGTGCGCAGTTGAGCAGCTTCTCAATCAGGTGCACGTGGGCCAGGAGCATGCGGCGGCAGCAGTAACGCTTCAGGCCCAGGGCGTCCAGGGCGTGCCCCTCGGTGTACTCGGCCCGCAGCAGCCCCAAGCAGGCCTCCCACTTGTTGCCGACGATCTTGCCGCAAGTGAAGCAGCGCACGGGGATGATCAGCGGCCGCTCCCCGCCCGCGCCCCTCCACGCAGCTTGGCTCCGCGCCCCGCCCCCAATAAATAAATCTTTTAAAACATAATTTTTAAAAAAGTGTTTATGGTAGCAGCCATGGAAAGAAAATGAAAGAAATCCAAATGTGCCCCATAGGAGACAGGTTAAATAAATGAATGTACAGCTGCACAGATATTCCATGCAGCCAATAAAAAAAGATGCCAATTTTGACATAGAAATACCTGCAACCATTTTCTGACCTTTTTTTCAGCTTTATGAATGATGAAAATGTATAGCACTACATAGGATGTTACCAGTTATGCAAAACAAGTACACACTCTATATTTCTCCCTTGATTCACACAAACTGTGCAGTGACCTGGCATTCTGTGCCTTGGTGACTTGGTATTCTGGCCTTTTTATTTTTTAACTTTTTTGCATTATCTACTTTTTTTTTTTAATTGAGGCAACTGTACATGATTTAGGTGATGGGTTCATACCTCCTTGGATGGATGTCACCACAACACCCCCGCCACCAAAGCATCCAGAGTCCTTTACCGTAAACCACCCTGTAGGGTAAGGAAAAATGTCAGGCTTTTCTGCCCTCCTGCCATCAGGATAGATGATGGATCCTTGAGGTCCTGAATGCATGCCTGATGGTGGGCACCGGGAATGGGGTGTGGGCACAGGTAGATGGGATTCACCTGGGCTAAGACTGTGCTTTTTAAGGGCGGCGTCATGGGGACGCCAGTAGAAGCCGAAAGAGAAGCCGAGAGAGAAGCAGAACGCCGGAGAACCCAGATAGAGTGAAGATTTGCTGGGGGCTGGGAGGCCTGCCAGCCTCCCGGCCCTCCCCCCAGCACCGCTGCCTGCCATATGCCTGGTGAACCCCAATAAAAGACCTGCAAAAACCCACTGAGGACTCTGACCCCTCCTTTACCCGGTCTGCTGGGTCAGAAAACCTGCACTGTGCCCATTCCTGCCTCTACACACCCCCCTTCTCTTTTCTTCTCAGACCATTCCTTTCTCTCCCTCTAGCAGCCTCAATTCTGCAGGCACAGTTCTAGGGTTTGTTTTGGTTTAATTTCATCAGTCCCTTTGTTTCGTTTTTTCTCTCTGTTCCACATATGAGGGAAAACACCCAGTGTTTGTCTTTCTCTGGCTTATTTTACTTAGTATGGGTGGAGCTGGAGGGGATGATGCTATCACACACAGAAGAGCTCATCATTTTTCATAACTGAGTAGTATTCCATTGGGTATATACACCGTAGTATTGATGGGCACCTACTTTGTTTTTACAACTTGGCTATTGTACAATCAACAGTGCTGCAATGAACATAGGTGTACCTATATCCCTTCAAATTAATGTTTTTGTATTCTTCTGGTAGCTACCTAGGAGTGGAATTACTGGATCATTCAGTAGGTTGACTATAGATTTGCATGATACATATTTTCTTATCACTGGAAACACTTGAAATATCTCTGCCCTTCATCTAACAGACCAGTTCGTATCAATGGATGCTAATTAACAATGCCATTAAAGGTAGACATGAACATAGTGACAAGGTAGAAAAGTCACATTTGGGGCCTCCCTGGTGGTGCAGGCAGTTAAGCACAGTGCTGTGAATCTGTCCACAGCCTCTGCAGTGCCGGTTCGATCCCCGCCGGTCACAGAGCAACCCACATGGCGTGGCAGACCTCTTCTGTCTCACCCGCTGCTCCCCTCAGCTGTGTCATTCTGCCTGTTCTGTTGCCCGCTCTGTCTCTGGTGAATCCTCTCACCCTCCCACGCCTCTGGCCTGTACCCTGGTACTTGTATAAATAAAATAAATCTTTAAAAAAATGAAACAAGCCTTAAAGTTTATTCAATATAAAAAAAATCACATTTGCTGCAAAGATTCAATGCACCAACGTCAGAAATGTGCAAATGAATGGTCTGACCCTCACTTGCACACAAGTGTCCCCCAAACAAAACGACTCTTCCAAACTTAGTATATAGCTCTAGGATCTGCTACCCATTTCTTTTTAATTTCACTTTTATTCAGGTATAATTGATATATAAATTGTAAGATGTTTAAAGTCTCCATCATGGTGATTGACACACACATACACAGTGCCAGGCAGCCTCCTAGCTAGTTGATTGAGGCAACCACCAGCTAGCATATTTCTCTTTCTTGGTTTTTTTCCTTGGTGAGAACAATTAAGTTCTATTTTCTCTATGAATTTTAATTACACAATACAGTATTATCGACTATAATCACCAGTTATACAGTAGCTCTCCAGACTTTAATCACCTTGAAGGTTTGTACCTTTTTATCAACCTCTCCCTACTTCTTTCCAGCCACTAGCAATGACCTTCTACCTTATGTGTCAATGATCTTGACGTTGTTTTTAGAGTGTACATGCAAGTGACGCCACGCAGTGTTTGTCTCTCTCTGTCTGACTTAGCTCACAATTTACTTTGAGGGAAGATAGATTCTGATACGTTCTGTCAAGTCACTGAAATCGTAAATTCTCTTGTTCCAATGACCTTATTTTTGTGGAGATATGCCCATTTTGACCAAAAAGAAATTCAAATAATTTCTTTGAATTTTGAATTTACTCTTTCCTTGTTCATTTCCCAAGCCGGGCCTGCTCTTGCACAAGCAACACTGCAGGGGCCGCGTTGAACACGTGTACAGAATCACCTCCTGAGAAGATGAGATGAGGCTGCTGTCGCTTTCCTGAGCCCTCTCATTCACTGCCCAGGCCTTTCGTTTATCTCATAAAAGAACCAGGGCCGGAGGAGTCGCTCCAACAGGGCTCACCCCGACGCCACCACCCTCCCTCTTCCCGCCTGGGAGGCAACTTCTCCCATGATCTGCCCTGTTATTTCTTATTTTTAACTAGCATATTTTATTTCGTAAGTGGCAAAAGGACAGAAGTCATTGTAGGCAGGAGTTCCTGAGAGCAGCAACCGTCCATGTGGACAGGAGTTGCCCTGCCTCCTAGCTGCACACTCACATCTGGTGTCTCCAACCGAAAATAACTATTTTCCTCTCTTGGGTTAAGATAATCAATTAGAGCAAAAGTAGACAAAGAAAAATAACATGTATTTGAACATAACATAAGAACTTGGCTCTAAAGGTGGCTCGGAGCTTCCCTTCTAGCCTCTTTCCCGGACCTGATGTCAGGTTGGATTCTGAGGGACTGGCCGGGGGTGGGGGGATGTTTCATGCAGCTCACAGCAGGGAGAACCCACAGGATGGGCCTTGGTGGAGGGCAGAGTCTGGCACCGAGAGGGGAAACAAGACATCCAAAATGCAAAAGCAGAAACCTGAAGGGCAGGCAATGTCCAAGGCAGATTCTGGTCCCAAATCTGTGCTCCTTTGACTTCATGAAGGGGGCATGTTTTTTCAATGCCTCTGAGCCCCGATTTTACCTCTGTACCAAGGGGCCACCCTGGCTGCTCAGTTGCTGCCACATGAATAAAGTCTGAGTTACACAAATGGAAGCTCTTTTGGGGTATTAAGTGCAGCGATTTTGTTGCTAAAATCCCCTTTTTTGAAGTTCTAGGGTTAAAGGATGAGCCATGAAAATCAAGTGTGTGGTTTCCTTTTACACAGCGTGAGAGAAAAGTCCTGAAACATTCCTGGTTTCCTAAAGCATCCCTCTGCAGAGGCAGCAAGAGCGAGCACATTCCAGCTTCTCCTTTGATTTACATGTAAAGCCAGGGGCCATCTCTGGGCCCGTGGGAGCCTAGAGTTCCCAGACATTGGGTGGGGGTAAAAAAGAGGCCTCAAGAGAGATACCACTAGCAGGGCCTCCCTGGTGGCGCAAGGGGTTAAGTCTCAGCACTATGAAGGTATCCACAGTCTCTGCAGCACGAGTTTAATAACCAGCCAGGGAGCTACCCACATGGCGCAGCAGACCTCTCCTGTCTCTCCGCTGCTCCCCTCAGCAGTGGATTTCAGTCAGTCTGCCTGTTCTGCTCCCTGCTCTGCCACTGGTGAATCCTCTCATCCCCCGCACCTCTCGCCCACTCCTCAGTTCTTGTATGCATAAACAAGTAAATTTTTTTAAAAAGAGATACTATGAGCAGATGGGGGTCTGAGCCGTTCATTGCGAGAAAGGAGACAGGCCCACGCCCACTGTACGCCCACCCTGCGCTTGTGCAATGGCACACATGGGTTACTTCAGGCTGCCACTTGGCAATGGCAAGAATTTCAGTGCCATGATGTGAGTGTTGTGTCTGATAGGGACCATGAAGTGGGGAACAGAGGGTGGGGAGGAGAGAGGGCAATTTCCTTAGCCGGTACAGTATGTGCCAAGGCCTATAGGCCTTGGGGTGACTGGCTTGGAGCTCAGAGGGAGCTGTGGGAGGAGCTGGTGGTGGGCGAGAGATCTGGCAACTAGGAAGGCAAAGGAAAGAACTGAAAGACCTCCAGAGCTCAAGAGGTTTCTCCTCTAGGCTAAGTTTGTCCTCTGGGCCTTTGTAAGCAAGCGAGCAGGTCAGCTCCAGGGAGAGCAGAAGGAAATTCTCCATAGCGCCACTGTTAAAACCACCCCAAACTTTTCCACGATGGAATGGAAATATTTTCTCAAATCCATTTTTATGCAGGCAACATTGGCTTAGAACTGTGTATCCATTTCAGGTGTACAGCATTGTCATTCAACATCTGTACAGAGTAAAACATCTGATCGCCACCAGAAGTCTGGCTGCCTCCGTCACCATACAATAATCCCCTTTACCTGGTAAATAATTTTTCACTTTTAAACAGTCTCAAAGTACTAGAGTCTAATATCTTCGATAGGCCACACATCTCATTAGATTTGTTTGATGATCATTGATAATGTTTACAAAATCTAAAATTCAATCCTCTTTAAAAATAAGAAAAAAAGTGTTTAATGCAAGCGCTTTGAGAACGCAGGCAATAAAAAGGGGCAGGCAAGTAAGATCACCTCTGAGCAGGTGAGAGTAAATCGAAGATCTGGAAAGCAAGGCAAAAGGACAGCCAGAAATTCAACCCTTGTGCC